TCTGTGAAGGGAAAAATAGACAACATTTTAGGCTTTGCAGACCATTTGGTTTCTGTTACAATTACCCAGCTGTGCTGTTGTAAGTGAAAGTGGCCATAGGCAACCTGTACTCAGACGGGCGCGGCTGCGTTCCAGTGGGACTCCATTCACAAAAGCAGGCAGTGGGCTAGATTTGGCCCATGGACGGTAGTTTGCTGACCCCTGAGACAGAGCATGGAAAGATTGTGGCTATTGCCCAGTACAAGGGAAGCATTGGATAAGTGATAGCCATGCTCGATATTACCGTACTATCATTATTGGTTTATTCTTTCAGCAGTCTTGTTCTTCTGCTTTCCATTTTCGTACTCTGTCTTTCGGTGTTGTTACTTCGTTCCATCTCTGGGGTGTGAGAAGAGAAATTCAGCTCCACTCTGGCCAAATGTAGTAAGTAGCCAGCTTCCACGATGGCCCCCAATGATCCTTGGTTCCTAGTATTCTGGAAGGATAAGAGGCCACGTGGAGAAGAGCTGAGGTCCCCGTGCCCCTCCCACAATGGGTAGGGCTGACCTGGCAACCAATCGGGTATGGTGGAAATGCCTGGGTATGACCTGTGGTGCTATGTCATAAAAGATATGGTGGCTTCCTCCTTGTGCTCTTTTGGATCGTTCACTCGGGGGGAAGCTAGCTGCCATGTCGTGAGGACACTCAAGCAGCCCAGTGGAGAAGTCTACTTGGCAGGTAACTGAGGCCTCCTGACAACAGCCAGCATGAACTGGCCAACCATGAGAATGCTTTCTTTTTAAGTCAGGGTCTTGCTCTGTTGCTCAGGCTGGAGTGCAGTGGCCGGATCATAGCTCACTGTAACCTTGAACTCCTGGGTTCAAGTGTTACTTTTACCCCAACCTTCCAAGCAGCTGGGACTATAGGCAGGTGCCACTATGTCTGGCTAATTTAAAAAAAAATTTGTGGAGATGGGATCTTGCTATGTTGCCCTGGCTGTTCTCCAACTCCTGGCCTCAAGCAATTCCCTTGCTCAGGCATGAGCCACCACACCTGGCCCACGTGATCATCTTGAAAGTGAATCTTCCAGCTCCAGTCAAGCCTCCAGATGACTGCAACAGAGCCAACGTCTTGACTCTAATCTCGTGACAGACACCTTGCAGGAATGACCCAGCTGAGCTATTTAAGCTGTGTTCCTGTATTCCTGACCCACAGAGACTGTATGAGATGATAAACATTTATTGTTTATTTAAGCTACCAAGATTTGGAGTAATTTGTTATGCAGCAGTAGATGACCAATACACCAGCCACACAATTGCCTTATTTTGGGTAATGGCTGCTTAGCTTGGATGAAAGCATCAGTTTTCAGGTGAGAGTTTGCTGATTTCTTAACACCGTGAGTGACAGAGGAATTGGCAGAGCCAGGATCAGTTGGCCACTGCTGCTAACTGTTTTTGAGGATTCCCGGCCTCAAGGGATCTGACCCCAACCTGACATCTCCCAGAAACTCTCTTGCAGCCCCTATTTAGCCATGTCAGATTGCTAATACTGTGTTGCTAATTATAAGTGTATTAATAATAGTGAGGCTATGATGATATAGTTGCCATTTGTTGTATACCAACAGTGTGCCGTGCCCTTTTCCATTTACTTTTCAGGACTTCCCTGTGAAGAAGGTCCTAGTGTGAACGGCTCACACGCAAACTGCTCTTGGAGGATTGCGGCGCTAGGGGCTGGGTGCGGGTTTGAAGTGAGCAGGCCCGACTTCAGAGCCTGAGTTCTGGGACACGTTGTGCCCTTTATTGCCTCCCCTTTGCCCATACTGTTCCCTTTTCCTGCTGCTCCCCGCCCCCTCCCTCGCAGGGGACTCTACTTCTATTTCAAGACCCAGTTGAACTGTCACCTCCCCTGTGTGCCACCTTCTTTGACATTCTTAGCCAGTCAACAAACATTTACCGAGAGGCTGCTAAATGACAGGCGCAGACCCACAGGCTGGGGCGCACCAGTGACAACAAAATAATCAGCAACGCTCCTGCACTGAAAGAGGTAACATCCTGGCAGAAGAAAATTAACAAACAGATAGGTGAGACAGTTTGGAAAGTAGGGCTGTGCTGAGGGATTGGTTTCCAGGATAAAGAAAAAAGGAGGGCTGAGGGTAACACCTCAGTGCCTGATTTTCTGGCTTAGGCAACTGGCATCCTTTCCTGAGGCAGGGAAGACTCGACTGAAATCAGTGTGTGAGTGTGTGAGTGTGTGTGTGTGTGTGTGTGTGAGAATGAGGGCAGGGTTACTTGGCAGGAACTCAGTATCTTTTAGATGAGTTAAGTTTTAGATTTCTTATAGACATCCAAGTTTCTTTTCTTTTTTTTCTTTTAAACAATGCTATCCTTCAGAAACACCCACCTTCCTAATGGGCAGTTGTCTTTTGAGTCTGGAGTTTAGTGGGTAGGTACGGGTTGGAGTTACGAATTTGGGAACCTTCAGTGTATAGATGGTGTTTGAAGCCATGGCAATGGTCGGGATTCAGCAGGGAGAGTGTAGAGAAAGGAGGGAGTGCCCAGGACTGGTTCTGTCTTTGCTCAGGTTAGTTTTTCTAGCTCCGTCATACTCTGTTTGGTTCTTGTTGAAATGGTTTGTTCCTCAGTGGACTGGGAGTGTGTGGGGCTGACACCATGTTTTGTGTCTGCAGCCACCATGCCCCACGCCATGCCTGATCCTTGGTAGGTGCTCACTACATGGTAACCGGTGTCACGGATCATATGACCGATCAAATGGTCATATTGTCATTTTGGAGCTCTGGGTTTGCCACGGCCAAGTTCATGCTCTTAGCCTTCCGGAACACGGCTTATGCGATAACTCTAAGGTGGTCCAGTTCCTCATACCCCACTGCAGGAATCGCCCTCCCATGTGGACTGCAGGAGGTGGGGTGGCCGGAGCAGTGAGCTCTGGCGTATGGGGGCTGTAATTGAGTGTCCCAGACCGGGAAAGACGGAGAGAGGCCAAGAAGGAAGAGCCGTTTAGGAAGGTGAGATGGGATAAATCCGACCATTCTCCCAGAAAACATAAGTATGTGCATGACATAAGTATGTGAAAACATAAGTATGTGCAGATCTTTAGAGATGCATGAGAACAAAAACAGAGACAGGGAAGGAGACTTATCAGTGAGGGTTATTTGAGGGGCATCAGGGCCTGAAGGGACTCACCTGAGCAAAGTGATTATTCATTTAGGATGCAATTATCGTCATCCATACAATTATATATTATTTCTACATTTTAATTATTATTATTTTTGGATATTAGGGTCTTACTCTGCTTGACACCAAGCTGGAGTGCAGTTGCGTCGATACATAGCTCTCACTACAGCCTCCAAGACTCGTGGGCTCCAAGCGGATCCTCCTGCCTCAGGTTCTCCCGAGTAGCCGGGACTACAGGTGTACACCACTGTGTGCTGGATGATTATTTAAATTTATTGAGAAGAAAGGGCAGGATAATTTTATTACGTGAGCTTTGAATTCTTATTAAATAACCCTTAAAAATTTAAAATCAGCTGGGGACAAAGTAACAGAGAGGGCTTGGCAAGTATCCCTCTTATGTTTATATGATTCCCAAGAAATTTCCCATTTGGCTGGTTAGGAATTTACCTGTTTTCAGGCTTTGTTTCTAGTTGTCCAAAGCAGAATAGGAGGTTGGTCTGAATACCGATTGCTGTTGACTGTAACGGGAATTCACCCTTCGATGTTATTATTAATATTAGTTGCCAGTCTTTAGTACTGTCATTGTACTTACAGGCCCTTTGGGCTCAGGTACTGTTTTGTCTCCTCAAGTTTGAATGATGGCTCAATAACACCGGCCATGCCTCGGGGTCATCCTACTGTTAGAGCCAACGGGATGAGCTGCCTGGAAACCTGGAGGCCAGCATAAATGCTAGGTGACTGGGGTTGTCGTATCAATCGTCATTTCCACAGCAGCTGAACCCTGGTTGAGCGCCGTGGTTAATCTCAACCTCTGTTGACCCCAAACGTTCCACCATCCCTTCTGTGTGCGCCCCCAAGCAGCGCCTACGGTGGCCACTGTTCTCACTTGCAGCGAAGTCTTGAAACCTGGGACAGTCAGGCTGAGTTGTTTTTTTTTTCACTTTTTCTCACTTCTTTTTCCCCCGCCACATAATGCACTGTCGCGAAGGGCTTCCTGGGTTTTGTGTCTAATAACGTTTGCTGTGCGTAAGCCTGTCGCGTGCAGCAGCGAGGAGCTGGACCCGGTGAGAGACACACCTCCAAGCGCCCCCCGACCGGTGCTCCCCGCAGCCAGCCGCCAGCGCAGGACGCCCCGGGCTCGGCGCGCCTGCGGCTCCGCGGGCCTGGGCCCTCGCGCGCCTGGGCTCCCGCCTGGCCGCGCGCCTGGCCTCGCGCGGCCTGGCCGTCTGTGCGCCTGTGCGCCTCGACGCGCCTGGGCCTCGTGTGCGCCTTGGGCCTCGCGCGCCTGGGCCTGGCGCCTGGCCTCGCGCCTGCTGCGCCTGGCTCTGTGCGTCCGCGCAGAGCGCGACCGATCTGTGCGTGTGTGGCCGGGACAGGTCCCCGGGCTGCGCGTGAGGCAGCGCATGCGACCGGACAGGGTGCGGAAAAGGTCCCGGTGGCTGCTTCAGTGCGATTAGCCCAACGCGGATTGCCTGTCTGGCGGAGGCGGAGGACTCATCTGTTTACTTCACGTGCGGTACCGGTCCGTCACAAACGGCCAGAAGGACGCATTTCTGGAGCCGCAGGCAGTGCCAGCGAGCCCCTGGAGCCAGGAGGTTCCATTTCCACAGGCGCCGCCTGAGGCCCTCGCTTTATTTGTCTTCACGCCTTTCCTATCTCTGTCTCTAGCTTTTCTTTTCCCGACTCCTGTGTTTCCACCAATGCTAAAAGTTTCTGCCAAAAAACGTTGCTGCCACCTGGAATCTTATTAATCTCAGCTCATCTTCCTTTTCCTCCCCTCCCTCCCGCCCGTTGCTTCCGTGCATATTTAAGTTTTGCAGAGAGAGGGCGCCGGGGTTGGTGCAAAGGCCCTGGGGTTTGGGTGTCAGACTCACCAGGTTTGAATCTCTGCTTGCCCTCCTAGCTGGGGTGACAAGGTGAGTTATTTAACTTCCACGAGGGCTCAGTTTTCGTCATCTGTGAAATGGAGACGTGTGATATCCACTCTCTAGTTGTGGAGGCTGGCATTAAAGAAAATGTGTGTATGTTTTAAAATGGTTTTTTTTGGTACATAGTTTGTATTATTCAATGAGTGGTGTTTCTTTTTATTCTCTTGGTTTTTTTGGGTCATTTTCTGTTAAAGATATTTCAGGAAAAGCTTTTTTTTTTTTTTTTTGAGGACAGAGTCTCACTTTGTTGCCCAGGCGTAGAGTGGATGCTGGTGGCGTCAGCCTAGCTTCACAGCAACCCAAACTCCTGGACTCACAGCACCTCTGCCTCAGCCTCCCGAGTAGCTGGGGACTACAGGCATGCGCCACCATGCCCGGCTAATTTTTTCTCATATATATTAGTTGGCCAATTAATTTCTTTCTATTTATAGCAGAGACGGGGGTCTTCACTCTTGCTCAGGCTGGGTTCGACACTCCTGATCTCGATCTATCCGCCCGCCTTGGCCTCCCAGAGTGCTAGGATTACAGGCTGAGCCACCGCGGCCCCCTAGGAAAAGCTTTTGATGAGGAGTAAGAGATTCAGAGATAGTTAGGATGCACTGTAGTTACTATTCCATTATAGATCACTATCCCAACTATCTTTTGGTTTTTTTTAGAGACAGAGGCTCACCATGCTGCCCAGGGCTAGTCTCAAAACCCCTGGCCTCAAGCAATCCTCCCACCTTGGGCCTCCCAAAGTGCTGGGGGTTATAGGCATGAGCCATGGTGCCTGGCCCAACTGTCATCTTTGATCTTGTGGTCTTCAGGGTGTCTGTTACCAAGGATCTGTAGGGGTGAGCAATCCAAGCCGAGGTGGAAGAAGACGGGATCAGGAGGGAGGCTCTAAGTAGAGCCTGTGGAATTCATCTGGGGCGAACATAGGCCACTCAGTGTTTGCTTCTGGTTGGGGGCTTGTGGTCTGGACCA